AGGTCATGGTCGGTAGTTTCGACACCAGTTGCTTTGGAAAGATAGTCCCAGTGATAAGGTCGGCCGCTCCGTGGGTGTGACCCCGTGGGAGAGTTCCTGATGTGTTGCCTTTTCCCAAGGGGGTTGGACCCAGCTCCGTGACCAGCATGACTGTGGGGTGTACAGGGCCTCTCCATACTCACCCTGAAAAATCGGAAGCTCTCTCCGGCAGCATCATAATGACGGGGTTCACAGCTCACACCAGCCCCCCACTCGGGGCTGGAGGGTGGCAGCCAGATCCTCAGGTGGCGGGGAGCCATGAGGCAGAGTTAGAGGGGAGCCTGGCACAGCCAGCCAAGTCCTGGGGAGAAGGCGAGTGCCCAGGGGCCTGGATGGAGACTTGCCCTGCCAGGTTCGCATCCTGGTGCCAGGTTCAGGTCAGCCAGTGTCCTGCACGCCTTGGCTTCTCCCAGGAAGTTGGCTGTCCCAGGAATGGGGGTTGGCACATCAGTGGACTGCCAGTCCCTGACTCTAGGCCTGTGTGGACTCTCGGTGCTGGCCTGGAGCCACCTCCGCGCAGCTGCAATGCTTGCTGCAGGGCCGAGGCACTGCAGTGCGCTGGTCTCTGATACACAACGAGGGGGGCATGATCTGTGCCCACAGAACCCTGTGACTGGCCACTTATGCCCACACGTCCTGGTCTGATTCCATGTGCCACAGACAGGTGAGATCTTCCAGCTTGTGTCAATAAGAAGAGAGTGTCCTTCTCCAGGGCCAGGTTTCTTTTATTATTTTTTAAAAAGATTTATTTATTTTCATTAAAAAGATCAGATTTATGGAGAGAAGGAGAGACAGAAAGATCTTCCATCCACTGGTTCACTCCCCACATGACTGCAACGGCCAGAGCTGAGCCAAACTACAGCCAGGAGCTCATGTGGGCGCAGGGCCCCAGGCTTTGGGCTGTCCTCGCTTGCTCTCCTGGGCCACACAAAGGGAGCTGGATGGGAAGTGGCGCAGCCGGGACATGAACCACACGTGTGACGTCCTGGCACCTACAACGAGAGGATTTAGCCATTCAGTCACCACGCTGGACCCGGGCAGGCTTCTTATGAGTGTGGAATGGGGCATGGTTTCTTGATACCACACCCAGCGCCCAGGTGCTTGGGGAAGGGGGCTCGGGGGCTCCTTCCAGCTGGGCCAACAGGTGGAGGTGTGCTCTGCTGGCTCCCCTTCCTCTGAGCAGGGAGCTGCATGGGAAGGGAAGCTTACCAGCCTTGTGTTACCGGTTGAACCACAACCTCAGCCCCACTCTCCCTCGCTTTCCCTGCTGTCTTTCCGCAGGGACGGGCAGCCTTGCAGGCAGCTGCAGCTTCAACTCAATATTCTCATCGGACTGGAGAAACAGAACTTGGGCTTGGCGCCGTGACGCCACAGGCTTAGCCTGCACTGGTGGCACCAGCAGCCCACAGGGACACTGGTTTCAGTCCCAGCTACTCTGCTTCCCATCCAGCTCCCTAAAATACTCCTGGGAAAGCAGTGGATGGCTCAAGTGCTTGGGGCCTGCATGGGAGACCCACAAGAAGCTCCTGGCTCTGGTTCAGCTCATGTCTGAATGTTGCAGTCATTTGGGGTACGAACCAACAAATGGAAGATATTTATCTGTCTCTCTTCTCTGTAACTCTGCCTTTCAAATAAAGCAGGAGGCGCCCACTCCTGTCACCTGCCTGCCTCCCTCCCTCCCATAGGCGTGTCCTATGCATGCACAGCCGTGTGTCCCAGGAGACTTGTATCTGTGGCCCCCATTTGGGACTCCGCCCCCACAGCCTCTGTGGGGGTGAGCAGTGTTTTGGTGGTGTCCTCCCTGAGGGTGGCATGGGCACCTGGGGCAGGGGACGAAGCTAAGATGGTAAAGCCCTGTGTGTGGGCAAGACCGGGAGGCCGAGCCAGCGGGGCCTGGGAGTGCTCCCTTCAAGTGGCTCCCACAACACCCAGCACGGCCCTTGGCTTCTGCAGGTAAAAGCTCTGGATGAGCGGCTGGCCCAGCACGCATCCAACTTCCCTCCGCTCCAGCTGGCTTACCCTGCAGTTACCCTCGCTCTTAATCCTCACCATCAGCTAGGACTACATTGTAATGATTCCACTGGCCTTTGAACTCAAGGTCGGTCCTCCCCTGCAGCCGCCTGTGCTGGGCTCCATGCATGGGGTTCCCTGCTGCCCTTGGCCTTTGTCACAGATACTCCGTCTTCCCAGGTTGGCAAGCATCCGCATAGCTATCACCTGGCCCCAGCCCCCTCTGCCTCTCTCTGCCCACCCCACCCCTTCATCCCAGCTGGGATAGGTTTCCCTGAGTGAGTGCACCTGGTAGCCTGGGGACGGCACAGGAGTGGAGGATCAGGTGCTTGGTCCCTGGGCCAGGCCCCGGAGGCTTCTTGAAGGAGGCAGCCTTGGCTGCGTGGGCCCCTGTGTGCCTCTGCTTGACAGGCCTGTCCAACCAGTTCCCAGATAGCCGGGGTGGCAGGACTGCAAGTGCCCTAGTTCCTGGCAGTGGGAAGGGGTTAGCTTGGGAATTAGGAGGTGGCCTACCCCGCCCCAGCTGCTGTCACTCCACCACCCTGCGTGGGGCTGCCAGCTCTCCCGGGGAGTCAGCTGCGGAGGCCACAGGAGGAAGCACCCTTTTCTGCATTCCTGGCGGCAGGATGTCTGAGGCCGAGGTCAAAGGCTCACAGCCCACGCTGGGGTACGTGGGCCTCGGGGACAGGTGGGGCTCGTGGCATGGGGGTCATGGCAGGTAAGTGTTCAGGGGGCCTGGGCTGGGGTGACCTCCGGGCTGTGGGTGTGCAGGGCTCGGAGAGGTGGCCTTGGCCTGCCTTGGCTCTACCCGGACGGGGGTGGTGCAGGTCTTGTTTTGTAGCCTCTTTTTGTAGACCTAGCCGCCCCGAAGGAGCCCCTTGGCTGGGAATGGGCAGATGAACCCTCCGCAGAGGGCCCTGATGAGGGCCTGGCAGGGACCCCTGGGCTTGATCCCAGAGGGGACAAAGGCAGGGCCAGGTTGGAAAGGGAAGTTTGGGGAAGACAGAAGGTTTGGTCTCAGTTTGAGTCGCCTTCCCTGCTTGCCCTGGCTGCAGAAATCTCCCTCTCCCGTCAGGGAAACCAGGAAGCAGGCACGGGCTGTGGAGACTCACAGTGCTGGCATCCTACATGGGCGCGCCAGCTAGCTCAAGTCTGGGCTGCCCACCTCCAAGAAGCTCCCTGCTCTGTTCCTGGGAAGGCAGTGAAAGGCGGTCAGCGGCCTGGGTGCCTGCACCCAGGTGGGACCAGTCTGGGCCAAGAGTTCCTAGTCAACCTGCTCCCCCGTGACACCAGCAAGTACCAGTGCCTCCAGTGCAGCCGGGCTGAGAGGCAAGAGCCAGTTGCCTGGAGCTGGCATGGCTGAGTGGCGTTGGCTGTGTGTTCACAGTATGCGAGTCAGAAGCTGACTCCTCAGTTATTGCAGAGGGGCAGGTGTGCACAGGGAGGAAGGCAGGTGTGCATAGGGAGGGAGGGAGGGCAGGTGTGCACAGTGAGGGAGGGAGGGAGGGCAGGTGTGCACAGTGAGGGAGGGAGGGAGGGCAGGTGTGCACAGTGAGGGAGGGAGGGAGGGCAGGTGTGCATAGGGAGGGAGAGCAGGTGTGCACAGTGAGGGAGGGAGGGAGAGCAGGTGTGCATAGGGAGGGAGGGCAGGTGTGCACAGTGAGGGAGGGAGGGAGAGCAGGTGTGCATAGGGAGGGAGGGCAGGTGTGCACAGTGAGGGAGGGAGGGAGGGCAGGTGTGCATAGGGAGGGAGGGAGGGCAGGCGTGCACAGGGAGGGAGGGAGGGAGGGAGGGCAGGTGTGCACAGGGAGGGAGGGAGAGCAGGTGTGCACAGTGAGGGAGGGAGGGAGGGCAGGTGTGCACAGGGAGGGAGGGAGGGCAGGTGTGCAGAGACTGGGCATGTGCAGGACTTCCTGCTGCCCCTGCCTTGCTGTCCCTGCTGCCCCTGGTGGGCCTGGCCTCTGCCTACCCTGGGTCCCAGTCAGATGTCTGCTTGCCTACGTGTCACAGCTTGTCCCATATTCCTGAGCATTCATCCCTAGAAAGTGGGAGAGGACTGTTAGACTCACCGCTGGCCAAAATGTTCGATTTGCTGCTCGCCAGGGAAAGAATAACTCCAAGTATATGGGAAGAATGCAGATGCCTTTATCTCAGGGACCCACGGTCACAGCTTCCCCTCCCCAGGCGGCAGAAAGGCAGGCATGAAGGAGGGGCGCTGCAGAGAAGAGCACGGAAGAGATGGGGAAGGAGCTTTTTAAACTGCTCGACATGGAAGCCGAAACGGGGGAGGGGGGCGCGCCTCAGCCCTTATTGGTGGGGGATATGGGTCTGTGCCCCTCATTGGTGCACCGGTGGTCTCACTGCCTGAGGGGCCTGCCAGAATTCCGCCATCCGTTCCAGGTTTGGTTGGAGGCAAACTCTGCCCTTCTCCAGTTGCCATGGTAGCCATCAAGGACAGCTGGGTGGGTGCTTCAGAGCCTGAGGGTCCCAGCTGCCCCACTGGCCCTGAGCTTCTCCTGGGAGTGCTTAGCACTCATCCCTGGGCAAGCCCTCCTCCAGGCCCTGCTGGAAGGGTCAGTGACTGTGGAGGCCCCCATCAGGAGCGGGCTCAATCTGTGTGCTGGTCCCCTTGGCTTGGCAGCCCTCAAGCCTGATTCCTCTTCTGCCCTCCAGGCCAAACCCAGAGCAGGTGAGGCTCTTGAGAGCCAGCCTGGTCACCTCTGCCCACCCTCCTTTCTGCAGCTGGGAGCCCCATTTCCCATTTCCTGGGGGTGAGCAGGTCCTTTGAAAGGGTAAAGAGGGGGCCCTTGGCCCGTGTGGGGGTCATCCCCGTGGATCCTGCACACATGGGGATGCCCTGAGCAGCGTGGGTGCTGCAGGCTCCGGCGCGGCCAGCGGTGGCGGGGTGCCAGCAGCCCTGACTGCCCGATCCCGTCTCCCCACACCCGCAGGATGGACCCCTTTGAGGACACGCTGCGGCGGCTGCGGGAGGCCTTTGGCGCGGGGCGCACGCGGCCGGCCGAGTTCCGGACTGAGCAGCTGCAGGCCCTGAGCCGCTTCCTGCAGGACAACAAGAAGCTCCTGCAGGACGCGCTGGCCCAGGACCTGCACAAGGTGGGCCGCGGGGAGGGGCGGGGCCGAGATGGAGAGAGAAAGGGCGGGGTAGGGTGAGGCTGGCTGTGTCCTTCCCTGGGTGACCGGCTGTGTCCGTGGAGAATGGCTCCCTGTGGGCGCAGTGCACGCCTCCCTGGCCTGCAGCGTACAACAGGAGTATGAAAAACGCTCAGCCATATACTAGGGGTTCTCCCAGGCTAGAGCACCCCAAGTTTCTCTTGCAGTCAGCCTTTGAATCGGACATATCGGAGCTCATCATGTGCCAGAACGAGGTGGACTTGGCGCTCAAGAACCTGCACACCTGGATGAAGGACGAGCCCGCGGCCAACAACCTGGTGAGCCCTGCTGGGCTGCAGGCCGTGGGGGCTGGAGGACACGGGCAGCCCCCGCTTAAGACTGGCTGCTGGCCACCCTCCCAGGACTCCCCGGGGTGGGATGGAGGTGGGGTGTCATCAGCCGGGCCTCACCGTGCACCCTGCACCCCAGCTCACCAAGCTGGGCAGCGCCTTCATCCGGAAGGAGCCCTACGGCCTGGTGCTCATCATTGCGCCCTGGAACTACCCCCTGAACCTAACGTTGATGCCCCTGGTGGGGGCCATCGCCGCAGGTGAGGACAGAGCCCTGAGGCACTGGCTGTTCACTGGGCAGCCTCCAGACTGCCCACGAGGTGCCTGCCCCGTCCGGCACCCTAGAGTGGGGGAGCCCGGGGCCCCCAAGTCCTCTTCCACCCCTCCCCTATGCGTCCCTCCAGGGAACTGCGTGGTGCTGAAGCCCTCGGAGATCAGCAAGGGCGCTGAGAAGGTGCTGGCCGAGGTGCTGCCCCGGTACCTGGACCAGGTGAGTGCATCCCAGCTCACTCTGGGGAGCGGGGAGGGTAGGTGGAGGCTGCAACCCTGACCACCCTGCACTGCCCGCTCCATCCCCAGAGCTGCTTCGCCGTGGTGCTGGGTGGGCCTGAGGAGACTGGCCGGCTTTTGGAACATAAATTCGACTACATCCTGTTCACGGGTGAGAAGGCCCTGGCCTTGGAGCAGGGGGCACAGCAGACAGCAGGGCAGGGAGGGCTGTGGAGAGAGGGGCTCTGGCCATGGGTCAGACCGGGACCCTGGGAGCTGCCCTGTGGAATCGGGTCTCTGAAGGACAGGAAAGCAAAAGGCAGGTGCCAGCTCCCCCCTCCCCACATGCCCCAACTGAGAGGCATCCCCTTGCCATGTCCCCAGGGAGCCCTCGTGTGGGCAAGATTATCATGACAGCTGCTGCCAAGCACCTGACCCCCGTCACCCTGGAGTTGGGGGGCAAGAACCCCTGCTACGTGGACGACAACTGTGACCCCCAGACCGTGGCCAACCGTGTGACTTGGTTCCGCTACTTCAACGCCGGCCAGACCTGCGTGGCCCCGGACTACGTCCTGTGCACCCCCGAGACGCAGGAGCGCCTGCTGCCCGCCCTGCAGAGCGCCATCACCCGTTTCTATGGTGAAGACCCCCGCACCTCCCCCGACCTGGGCCGCATCATCAACCAGAAGCACTTCCAGCGGCTCCAGGCCCTGCTGCGCTGTGGCCGCGTGGCCATCGGTGGGCAGAGCGACGAGAGCCAGCGCTACATCGGTGAGTGCCTCGGCCGCAGCTGTGTGTGAGCTGAGCGAGGGTCCCTGCACCTGCTGTCCCCCGAGGCTGCGGCCTGACCCCGGGCCGAGCTGCCCTGTGTCCTGGGCGCTCCGCATCCTGACCCCTCTGTGCCCCCAGCTTTCCCCGCCTCCCCATACCCACAGCACCCCCGCCCTGGGCTGAACCCCCACCTTCCCCCGCCTCCCCATACCCACAGCACCCCCGCCCTGGGCTGAACCCCTCTGTGCCCGCAGCGCCCACGGTGCTGGTGGACGTGCAGGAGGCGGAGCCGGTGATGCAGGAAGAGATCTTTGGGCCCATCCTGCCCATCATGACCGTGGGCAGCCTGGACGAGGCCATCGCCTTCATCAACCGCCGCGAGAAGCCGCTGGCCCTGTATGCCTTCTCCAACAACAACCAGGTGGGGCCGGCCTGCCCCTGTGCAGTTCCCCCTGAGAGGGGCCTGGGGTCACAGCTGGGTGGAGGTGACTAAGCCAGGTCACTGGTTTGACTGCCAGGCAGGGTGTCCTGGGAAGTTCTCCTGACCCAAGCACAGGTTCCACCTGGTCCAACTGAGACCCTCAGGTGGGCAGAGCTGCTGGGGTGGGGCCTGCACTGTTGGCACAATGCCCCGACCACTGCCAAGGTCATGGCGGCTCTCTGTGCTTGGGTGTGGCACCCTGACCCCACGGCACCCCTCACCAAGCGGGTGCTGTCTCATGGAGGGACTTGGAGGGAGTGGGGAAGATTGCTCAAGGGCTGGTGGAGTGAGTGGAGGCCCTGCAGATGCAGGGTCTCTCTCCCCCTAACTTCTGGGGTGGGGAGAAGTCTACCAGCACCCCCCTTCCTCCCCTGCACCTCAGGTTGTGAAACAGTTGCTGGAAAGAACCAGCAGCGGCAGCTTTGGGGGCAACGAGGGCTTCATCTACCTGACCCTGTCGTCCCTGCCACTGGGGGGAGTCGGTGAGTCCTTGCTCCTCTCTCCAGCCTGGGGAAACTGCGGGGGTTGGCACGGTTGACTCGAAGCCCTTCGCGCACTGTTCAACATGCATGGCCCCGGCCAGAGGCCTCAGCTCCCCTCTGTTCCTGATTGGTCTGCCCTGCCCTGACCGCAGCCCTCCCTCCCCGTGCCCCACACAGGTCACAGCGGGATGGGCAAATACCACGGCAAGTTCTCCTTCGACACCTTCTCTCACCACCGCGCCTGCCTGCTCGCCCCCCCGGGCCTGGAGAAGCTCAACGAGCCCCGTTACCCGCCCTACAACGAGCGAACGCAGCAGCTCATAAGCTGGGCCTTGAGCTTCCCAACCTGCACCCTTCTGTGAGCACGCGGCCTGCCTCCACGCCCACCTCCTCAGTCCCGTGGTGCCAGCTTTGGTCAGAGCCAACTCAGGACTGGGCAGGACTTCCAATGGCCGGCCAGTCCCTTTGCGGGCCGTGGTCCCCTCTCGACAGAATCGGACGCCCTACTTCCCAAAGTTGGGTTGGTTTTGTGGCTGGAGAGCACCCCTTTGTCATAGCCATAAATGGGTCCCCCAAGACCGAGCAGTTCCCGGCAGCTTCATCATACCTGTGTGGGGACTTGGTCATATCTGACTTGAAGGGACTGGACCTTGCTCCCAAGTCTGACCGCGTGGTGACCACTGCCCGCAGAGTGTTGTGGGCAAGGGTCCTGGCACTCCCCGTGGAAACCCCAAGGGGGCGTTGGCTGATTCATGATCGGGCATGGCCGTGCGCACACACTGGCCAACTCCCAAAGGTGGTTAGGGCTGGCCACATGTGGGGACCCCAACTGACAGGGGTCTGGGGACCGGACAGGACTGGGGTTGTGGGAGTGACAGAGCAGGTCTGATCCAGGCTGACCAGCTGGTGCCACGCTCTCTGCGTCCACTTCCACAGCCCCAGGCTTATTCAGGTGGATGCCTCACCCGCTGGACCATGTGAAAACTGGCCTGGCGGTAGGAGAGGAAGGGACATGGGGGAGGGGTTCTGGATCCCTTGGGAACTGGGGTGACTGTGTACAGGGAGGGCTGAAGGGGAGTGAGGGATGGGAAGGCCTGAAAAGGGAGCAGGGAGATGGATGGATGACGGGCAGGTGGATGGGACAATGGGTGGACAGGAAGTTTAGATGAAAGCTGGCCTGGGTCTAAAGGACCCCTGCTCCCTGCATTCCTACCTCAGAATCAGCTCTGGCTAGCTCGGAGGGCCGTCCCAGCACTCGCCCCCGTCAGCCCCCTTGCCCCTCTTGGTTGTTGACCTTGCGGTTCAGAAAGAGGTTGACACCTCCATGGCCAGTTGCCGAGCGGCCCTGGGCAGTGCCTGCAGCTGGCCCTCCCCTCACTCCAGTTGGCCCATGCATTTCGAGGCAGCTGGAGCCTGGGCTTGAGCAGACTTGGGTTTGAATCCCGGCTGTGCCTCATGCAGACAGTGTAGACGTGGGCAGGGTCCTGGCCCTTTCTGAGCCATGGCCGTGCCAGCTCCAGGGGCTGTAGCTGAGCTAAAGCGAGCAGGTGTGTGCTGAGCCCCCGCCCGAGCGGCTTACGATGTGGAGTTCTAAGGCATGCACACTCCTAAGCCTGTCACAGGGCCCTGCTCCGGTGGCGGGGCTGGGGCTCAGTCACATAGGGCCTCCCCAAGCCTGGCCAGAAGCTGAGCTCTGGGCTCCGACACCACGGTCTCCTGTGGGCCTCTGACTACATGACTTTCACTGGCTGGGAAGCAGGTTCTGGCTCCAGCCCTAAGGGGACGCACCTGAGGCAGCTGGGTCACGCCCACCCCAACCACGTCCTGGCCTTGACTTCTCTGTCATAGCTGACCAGGCCTGGCTCAGCAGACAGCCAAGACTCAGGCTGGCCTTCTGGGGTCCAGAGCCTTGAGCCAGCAGGCTGCTTCCACCCACCCTGCGCCACATCCCTGGCCCCGGCCCCTTGGGCTCCTCAGGGGTTCAACACCTCACACCAGCCCAACCTCTCCTGTGCCCTTTGCTCTCTGCCTGGCTCCGTGTGAGCCACAGCTCTCCATTGCCAGAGCTCGGGCCGGGTCCCTAGGTCATTCAGCCTCAACCTCCTTGTCTGATACAATGGATTACACCTGCCCCTTAGAGCTGGTGTGAGGGTGCCATGGAGGGCCCCACTCCAGGACACTGTTGGGCACTGAAGTCCTAGCTGCCTTCTTACAGGGCTTAATCTGTTGTGCCATGACACCCACCTCAGAAGTCTGGCCCCTTGGTATTTGCAGGGCCATTGCCCCTGGTTCTTACTCACCCTGTGGCCTGACCTGTATGTGTCTACCAGCCATGTACCTGTCCCTTGTTCCCCATTGCTTGTGGCCGCCCTGGGCTGGAGCTCAGGCTCAGAGAGGGTGCAGACTTTCTCAGGGTCACACAGCCTAGGGAGGCCCCTCTCCTGTCCAGGACTGCACCAGCCTGCTTCTGCTGCTGTGGTAGACACAGCTGAGCCAGGGGGGCCCACACAGCGCCCACAGCACCCCCTGCAATGTGCGCACAGGGCAGATGGCAGCCCCTTGGTTCCATAACCATCCACCGGTGACACGAAGGTGCCAGCTGAGCGGCCCACATGGCCAGCAGGAGCCCAGCAGCCTGGGGGGCCCTCAGAGGTAAAACCACATCTTGGAGTTCAGCCGGGCTGTGGCCTCCGCCCCCCCCCACAGGGGTCCCTGCTCTCCCAGAGTTGGGGGCCCTGCCTCACCCCACACCTGCCCCAGCAAAGTTCCAGCTGCCTCTGGGAACAAAGCTGTGTCTTAAGCCCCGCAGGCCTTGGGGCCCTCAAAGCGGCAGGCAGGAGGACTCTGATCCCTCTCCACTGGGCCGACGGTCCGGCCGATGCTCCAGACAGGCCAGATATCAATGGCAGTGGGTAACCCAGCTGAACACCTCCTGCCTGTCTGCCCTGCGACCGCTGACCCCTTCTGGGCCCCTCTCAGCTGGTGCAGAGAGCAGGGAACTTGACCTTGTCCGCTCTGCTTTTTTTCTGGCCCTTAGGAGGGAGCAGAGAGAGGGTGGGTGAGGTTGGTACGGTTTAGCCCTGCCCTAAGCACTATGTGTCCACATAGGCTCAGTGTCCACATCTGCGAAATGGGTCACGAAAATTATTTCCAGGGCCTGGCACGATAGCGTAGTGGTTAAAGTCCCCCCCTTGAATGCACTGGGGTCCCATATGGGTGCCGGTTCTAATCCCAGCAGCTCCTCTTCCCATCCAGCTCCTTGCTTGTGGCTTGGGAAAGCAATGGAGGACGGTCCAAAGCCTTGGGACCCTGTACCCGTGTGGGATGCCCAGAGGAAGCTCCTAGCTTCGGATTGGCACAGTGCTGGCCATTACAGCCGCTTGGGGAGTGAATCATCAGCCGGAAGATCTTCCTTTCTGTCTCGCCTCCTCTCTATACATCTGCCTTTCCAATAAAATCTTTAAAAAGAGTGAATGTTTTTTTTTAAAAAAAAGTTATTCCAGGTACAGGGGTGTGCCATGGCTGGAAACGATCAGAAGACTGCAAATTTCATGGACAGCACCCCAGAGCTATAGGCCTGGGACCCCCATTCCCTCTTCCCTTTGGGCTTGGAGGTGGGGCTGCCTACACTCCTGCAGGAGGCACGCAGGGCAAGGGGCAGGTGTCTGTAGAGAGGACTCAGTGGACTGTGCAGGTCCGAGGGCGGAGCAGGGTTTGGCTCACCAGCTCTGGGACCTTTGGCTGCACAGACCTCAGCCCCTACCCTGGCTGACTCAGCAGAAACTCTCCCCACCTCCCGGGGCAGCGGGTCGGTAAACACAACTGAGAGCTGGTTGTGACCAGAGGGCAGCGCAAGCCTAGGGCAGCCCAGGCTGCAAAGGCAGGAGAGCACCGCTCTCAGCCCGGGCTCCTGGCGACTGCACCCCCGCTTCCCGCCCCGGTAAGGACACCCCGAGCCTGTGCCCTGGAAGCAGAGGTGCAGGCACACACACACACACACACACGCACACACACACACACACACACACGCACGCACGCACGGCCCACGCGCCCTCAGCCACCCCTGCTCCCGCAGGGCCACGTGAAGTCCAGCCCTCTGCCTGCGCCCGCCCGCAGGCATGAGTTCGCGGTCCGCGACCCGGGAGCCCCTGCGCCGCGTGGCCGTCACGGGCGGCACCCACGGCAATGAGATGTCCGGGGTGCACCTGGTGCGGCATTGGCTGCGGGCCCCGGGGGAGCTGCAAAGACCCAGCTTTGCCGCCTTGCCTGTGCTGGCCAACCCTGCAGCTGCCGCCACATGCCGCCGCTACCTGGGCTGCGACCTCAACCGCGCCTTCACCAGCGCCTTCCTCACGTGAGTGCCAGACCTGCAGGGCACCCCTGCCTGCCCTCCCTCCAGAGGCCACCTTCTCCAGGAAGCCCTCTTGCCTGCACGCTGGGCCCCAACTTTCTCTGGGCTTCAGGATGGAACTGGGGTTAACTTCAGCTTATTGCGGAAACAACCATGGGGTGCAGCACCCACAAAACATCAGACCTGGCCTAGAGCCACCAGGGAAGCCCTCCTGGGGATGGCGGTGTCTCAGCCAAGCCCCAGAAGGTGAGGGCAGACAGCAGCTGAGACCAGCAGGTGCCGCTGGGAAAAGGGCCAGGGGCAGAAGGGCAGGTGAACGGAGGCTGGGCCTCCACCAGGGTCCCTGCCCCTCCAGCACAGAGCACATGCAGTCTCCAGGGGGCAGCTCTCCTCATTCCCACCCCTGTAGTGCCCAGGCCACCCCGGATGACCCATACGAGGTAACAAGAGCCCGGGAACTGAACCAACTCCTGGGGCCCAAAGGCTCGACCGAGGCCTTCGACCTGATCCTGGATCTGCACAACACCACAGCCAACGTGGGCACCTGCCTCATCGCCGAGAGCCAGCAGGAAGTCTTCATCATGCACCTGTGCCATCACCTGCAGGTGGTCCAGCCCAGCAGGGGGATGGGTGGGAGTGGGCTGACCTCCCCCGAGCTCCGCACCGTCTCCACCTGAGGAAAGAGGAGGGCCTGACTCGCCTTCCTCCTCTGCCTGCAGCTGCAGAACCCGGAGCTGGCCTGCCGGGTCTGCCTGTACAAGCGGCCGGGGGAGGAGAGCTTCCACGTGGGCTCCGCGGCCCAGAACTCACTGGGTAGGACCGAGGCCTCCGGAGAAGCGGGCGGGACCACTCGGGAAAGTGGGCAGGACCTCGCGGGTGGGGCTCTCGGGGCGAGGCCTTCCACCAGCCCCCCTCCTGTCACCCTCCCGTCACCCCCAGGCCTGGAACTGGGCCCCCAGCCTCAGGGCGTGCTGCGGGCCGACGACTTGGCGCGGATGAGGACTGTGGTGGCCTCTGCTCTGGACTTCGTGGAGCTCTTCAACCGGGGTGAGACCCCAGGGGCGTGGTGGGAAGCCGAGCCCGGGGGGCAGGGATGGGGTGGGAGGGGGTCTCACGCCCGTCCCACACACAGGCACAGCCTTCCCAGCCTTTGAGATGGACGCCTACCGGTACCTGGACGGAGTGGACTTCCCACGCACAGCTGAGGGGGAGCTGGCGGGCACCGTGCACCCCCAGCTGCAGGTGTGTGGGGTCCACGTGGCCAGGCCCACGCCCTGGGACGCAGTGGGCAGCCTTGGCATGGCAGGGGAGGGGTGCCCAGCTGGAGCCACTGGCTCCAGGGGACACAGCGACAACCTCTGCATCCCCCCTCCAGGACTGCGACTTTGAGCCGCTGCGGCCCGGCGCCCCCATCTTCCAGATGTTCAGCGGAGAGGACGTGTTCTACCAGGGGGACTCCACTGTGTACCCCATATTCATCAACGAGGCCGCCTATTATGAAAAGGGCGTGGCTTTCATTCAGACGGAAAAGATCTCCTTCTCCGTGCCCGCCCTGCCCTAGCCACTCCCTAAAAGGGTTCATTGTAAAGGTGACTCCTCCTGGGAGTCTGGGGTCTCCAGAGACAGCTGTATCCGGTTAGGAGTAAAGCTCCTGCTTCCTGAAACACCAGGAGGCAGACAGGAGATCAGGAGAATCTGCGAGTTTCTGGATTCATGGGAGAGACAGCTTCCTTCGAGGTGTGCTGTTTTATTACTGTCTGCGTTGAAGTGATCGCATCAGGGCCCGCAAGCCTATAGGTTGTAAATTCCTGTCGCATGCTTTCTGTTCTGTGTCACTGTTAGCCCCTAATCACGTATCTGCTCATTGTCATGCAGCTTTTGATTCTCTTAATATAAAAACCCCACGATTATTTCATTTGGGGCACTTCTTGCTTATGGCAAGAGGTTGCCCCTGGACTAGAAATTGAAATAATTTAACTCGCCTCGGAGTCTTGCTCGGATTCACTGAACCCCAACAAAACACCCCCCCCTCGGTGGGGGCCCCTCTGCTGCCCCAAACCTCACCCTCCCACTGTGTAAAACGGAGCGTGGCGGGTCGGTGGTCTGTGTTGTGCAGAGGCAAGTGGGGGCGGGGCAGGAGATGTGGCCACAGTGGCGGAGGCGAGGCTGGTCAGCTGGGGAGCCAGGCATGCCCCTCTTTGGGACGGGGGGTGCCCTGCAGCTGCTGCGCCGGCCACTGGGCCTGGCTGGAGCCCAGCGCTGTGTCCCCACAAATCTGACTTCCTGCCTAGCCCATCCGTCTCCCTGAGGCTGTGGCTGCCACGCCATGCATCCTGCTATTGAGCAGTGAGATGAGAAAGTGTGAAGGATATGCGGGCACCGGGGAGGGGCTGACAGGCAGGACGGATGAGGGGGCAGGGGGCCACCAGGCACCTGGGGCAGGCTGGGCCGGGGAGGCTGTGTGTCTGTATGTGTGCCTGTGTGCACACTGTGTGGACCTCAGGACTGTCTTGTCCCTGGGTGTCTAGGTTGAACCAACATACCTCCCAGGCCCTCCTCACTTCCCATCCTGGCCCCGGGAACAGCCAGGATCCCACATCTTGCACAGGGTACCCCTATTCTAGCCCGCTAGCGAGCCAAGGCTGGGGGGTGTGTCTGTGTAGCAGCCAGCCTCCTTCCTCCGCTCTGCATGGCCCTGGCCAGCCCGCCCTCTCTGGGGCGCAGAACTGAGCCAGCCGGCACCTCCTAGCTGCCTGGCACAGAGAGAAGAGTCCCCAATCCTCAGCCCCCACAAGCCCCTCTCAGGAACTTGAGGCCTCTACAGGATGTGGGGCCTGCCCAGAGGATATTGGAGACCCCAGTCAAGCATACCCAGCACAGCTTGGATACTGTGGCTTGGGGGCCAGGGGCCAGCTGGGTGGTCCACCCCAGGCTAGTTAGCAAGGGCCTAGAGGCCAAAGAGTGGCCACCACTAAGGAGCTGGCACAGCTTAGGGGGAGGACCCTGCCCATCCCCACCTCCCTAATGCCACGCCAGGCCAAGTTGGGGCAGCTGGAAAAGGTTCTAGGCCAGGCTGGAAACCAACACACAGACCTGTGCACACGGTCTCTGACCAGGGCCAGTGTCGGTGCCCCTCACACCCTGTGGAGACTACGTGGGGAGTGTCACCCAAGGCTGCTGCCCCATGCTTGGCTGCTCCATCCTGGACAGGAGAGACTGTGCCTTGAGACACTGCCAGGGACCTGCCCGGTCTCAAGGCCCAGCTGTCTGGCTGCCAGGGCTGCAGGCTCCTCACCCTTGCTGCTACTGCCCCCTAGTGTTCACTGCTCACATTTCCTTGACCCAATCTACCTGCCCCTGGCCCCAGTGGCCAGCCCCAGGTCAGGGGTCTGGTCCTGGTGGGAGGGCACTGCCTCTAGCCCTCAGCCTTCCATCTGCCACCACTGCCGCTCTGTCCCCCATTTCCCTGAGACCCGCTGGCCTCAGCCCCTTCCGCCAGCCAGGCAGGGCCCCTGTGGACACTCAGCCAAGCTCTGAGATGCCACCTCTCAGCCCCACCCCATGCAGGACCCATTGATCAGTGATGGCTGAGAAAGGGAGGGAGGGTGGGAGAGGGGGGCCTGCTGACGTCAGAACCCTCCCACCCGCCCTCGTCCACACAGAGGCTGCCCCTGGGCCCCCACGCAAGCCCAGCCTGTGGCCCAGCCCTGGCCAGACGCTGCAGATCCTGTGGCTTAGCGTGGAGCCTGGACCTCACCTGGGAAGAGCAGCTGCCGGCTCAGGGGCAGGACCTGGACCAGCATATCCCTGCTCGGTGGCTGGGGACACCGCAGAGGCACAGCCCAGGACAGCACTACCCCGCTGGCAGGTGGGAGCCCCTTTGTCGGGTGGCTGCAGCCCTACCCAGTTGAGCAGCTTTCTCCAGGAGCTGGCCATTAGGACCATCATGGCAGGTATGGGATGGCCACATGGCCTCAGCTTGGGCCAGCTCGGGCCACAGTGGCAGGGAGAGGCCGGGGACCCAGCACGTTCTAACAGTCCAGGGCTGGGGGATGTGACTGGGGTGTGAGGGTGGCAGCCAGACGGGAAGCCCTTGGAGAGCTGACCCTGCCCACCGCTGTGTCCCTGGGACCGTGAGCGTGTCTGTGTCCTGCTGGTCCTGCCCTCCTTCCCTCTGCTTGGGGTGTCACCTGGGCTGGCGCTGCTCAGGACGGGGCCCCACCAGGTTTGCGGCCTCTCAAGGGATCATGACAAAGGGATAGCCGCGGGTTCAGGACGCACTGGGCACAAACAGGCCCGCTCCTCACACATGGCTGCATCGTCACGGAGCCTGCAGTGCTGCCTGCCACACACACCCTGTCCCGCTGTCTGAACCCCACGCTGCTCCCAGGTTCCTGGCATCTGCAGGGAAGGTGGCCATGATGTGTTTGTAACTGGCAGAGCCACACTGTAGTGTCCTCAGAAATCCTTGTGGGGCAGAGTTACTGACCATTGCAAAGGAGGATGCTTCTCACCGCCCGAATCCGAGGCGTCTGTTAGTCCATCACTGGACCCTCGGGTTGCCCCACCTTTGGGTGCTGTGGATACTGCGGTTATGAACATGGTGTGTGTGTCTGCAAGCTGTCTGCTTCTCAGGTGTGGGGATGCTTGGTCAGATTGGGAGTGCTGGGTCAGGTATGGGGGTCTAGGTCAGGCATGGGGGGTGCAGGGTCAGATGAGGGGTCCTGGGTCAGGTGTGGGGGTACAGGCATGGAGGTGCAGGGTCAGGTGAGGGGTCCTGGGTCAGGTGTCGGGGTGCAGGGTGAGGTGAGGGGTCCTGGGTCAGGTGTGGGGGTGCAGGGTCAGGTGAGGGGTCCTGGGTCAGGTGAGGGGTCCTGGGTCAGGTGTGGGGGTACAGGCATGGAGGTGCAGGGTCAGGTGAGGGGTCCTGGGTCAGGTGTGGGGGTGCTGGGTCAGGTGAGGGGTCCTGGGTCAGGTGTGGGGGTACAGGCATGGAGGTGCTGGGTCAGATGAGGGGGTCCTGGGTCAGGCGCGACACTCATTTTGTCGAAGTCCCGAGTGGGTGTACATGGGTGGACTGTTTGGCCCAGCTTCTGCCAGGATCGCAGAGCAGACATGACAGGCCTGGGAGACCCAGGCTGCGGTGGGGGGGTTAACGTTGCTGGAGGCAGATTTTCAGAGCTGGGGAGGATGAACGGGGCTTGTCGGGCTGCGGGGACTCCAGGGAGGCTGGGCCCAGGGCACAGCTCCTTCTACATTAGGGCATCCTCAGTAAAATGTCTCACAAAAGGGGCAGAGTGCGGCATCCTCGAGTGACCCTACAGGCAGGCAGGTGGTGAGAACCCTGGGACAGGTGTAGAGACCGAGGCTGTAGGAGGAGCAATTTTCTCAAGGCCACATGGCCACAGAACTGTTGGAAACCTCCCCAGGAGCATCTCCTCCTGAGGAGCCCAGGCCTGCTGCCCAGGAGGGCTTCCTGGAGAAAGGGGTACATAGGGCCCAGCCTTCTGTCCTCTCTCCCCAGCCTTTCTGCCCACTGGTCTCAGTGTCTTGGCACCCCCCGAGACCTATACCCTGCCCATCGCCGGTACCAGCTGGGAGTTCCCATCAGGCCCTTGTAACAGCTCCCCTGGGGCCCAAGCCGCGACCGAGTCCCCGGAGCAGGGACCCAAGAACCCGCGGGTGGCTGGTGTGACGGTCCAACTGGAGATGAAGCCACTGTGGGAAGAGTTCCACCAGCTGGGCACAGAGATGATCGTCACCAAAGCGGGCAGGTGCAAGGCGGGCTGCGGAGGGGATGCAGTGGCACTGAGATGGGGCGGGGCCAGTGCTGGGCAGGCGTGGCCATGCCAGGGCTGGGGTGGCTGGCCAGGGCCTGGTCGGTGGGGCAGGCCCTGCCCAGGTTGCTAAGCCCCGCCTTCCTGCAGGAGGATGTTCCCCACCTTCCAGGTGAAGATCTTGGGCATGGACGCGCTGGCTGACTATGCCCTGCTTATGGACTTCCTCCCAGTGGACGACAAGAGATACAGGTCTGAGGGGAAGACCCGGAATCAGACACACCCCAGGGCAAGGCAGGGGGCAGCAGAGCTGGGCAGCAGAAGGGAGGTCCAGCCTGGTGCCTGGGACGGGGCAATGAACAGCCTCATGTGGGCGATGGGCGGGCGATGGGCAGGCGAGGCTGGCTAGCCCAGAGCAGCAGGGGGCCTGAGAGCAGCCAGTGCTGGGTTGGGGACCACCCCTTCGCGAGCCAGGCTTGGTCAGGCTTGGCGGCCCTCGCCACCTCGCTCTGCTCCCCACACCTCCTCCAGGTATGCCTTCCACAGCTCAGCCTGGCTGGTCGCAGGCAAGGCCGACCCCGCCATGCCGGGCCGCGTGCACTTCCACCCGGACTCACCGGCCAAGGGTGCCCAGTGGATGCGTCAGATCGTGTCCTTCGACAAGCTCAAGTTCACCAACAACCTGCTGGATGACAATGGCCATGTAAGGCCCAGGGCCGCCGCCACCATGGGCTGGGGTCCAACTGTGACCACAGCCTGGAACCAGGGCCGGCTGGACCCTTGG